TTTTCAACATGATGTTGTCTAATTTATCACTGGTTTTATTGATATTCTGTTTTACAGTTTTGAGCTTGTTTTCAACATGATGTTGTCTAATCTATCACTGGTTTTATTGATATTCTGTTTTACAGTTTTGAGCTTGTTTTCAACATGATATTGTCTAATTTATCACTGGTTTTATTGATATTCTGTTTTTCAGTTTTGAGCTTGTTTTCAACATGATGTTGTCTAATTTACCACTGGTTTTATTGATGTTCTGTTTTACAGTTTTGAGCTTGTTTTCAACATGATGTTGTCTAATTTACCACTGGTTTTATTGATGTTCTGTTTTACAGTTTTGAGCTTGTTTTCAACATGATGTTGTCTAATCTATCACTGGTTTTATTGATGTTCTGTTTTTTAAATAACACTTTCTGTTTTCTAGGAAATTTAAATGATAAAATGGAAAAACAATGCTAGTCCTTTATATGACTTATTACTAACTCTTGTGTTGAGCATCATACATTTAACTAGTGTTAGCAGATTCACCATTCAGTGTCATTGTCAACAAGACATATCTAGGCACGTTTATTAACAATTGTTTACTATGGTTTGCACTACCGGGATGTATCTATAAAACTGTAACTATCACATAAAGATGTTTGAGTAGCAGTGGGTTGAAGTACTTCTAATGCAGCTAAGGCTAAAACGAATTAAATTCTTACAAAAGTAAAATATAAGATATTAATATCTTAAACATAGGAAATATCAAAAGGATCAATATTTAATATTATTATTATTATTATAACATGTTTACTAACACACACACAGAGGTTTACAAGTCTTGTGTTCAGGGCAGTATTTATCAACAAGTATGAACTAATGGTTTAGAATAATCAAGATGTTGATGTGTTTCTTTGTATACCATTGGATAAGTTAATCAAACATCCTTTTTTTTTTCTTCTCATATTTACTGTCTTGTTTTCTACAGACTGGATTAAGAAGATATGATTTTGAGTTCCATGACTGGCCTGTGTCATTCAGATGGAATGATGTTGAAGGGTGAGTTCTTCAAAATATTTTGCCCTTCCCCCTGACCAACATTTTCCATTTTCTGGCACTTTTTTCTTTGCTGTTTCTTCTTTTAAAATGTAGAACACTATGGAAATATCTTATGCAAGAGTAAAGTATTGGTTTCACAAGTCATGCAGTTTTCATGCAATGTTGAGTCTGAGACCAAAATTAACTCCTACATGGGCAACATTGTTTCGTTTGTAGGATCGCAAAGATAGTGCATTCGTATCAACTTAATTTTCTAATAATGGGGACAGTTTTTATAGATAAATTAAAGGTACTATTCAGACTGAGTTTAGAAGCAGGATTTGTAACTTAGGTCACATTTGTTTCTACTGTATCACTGTCCATATGCTGGTCACTACAATTCTATAGTCTAAGACACAGACTAAAAAAACTTACTTTATATTTTGGAACACTACTTTATAAAATTGATTTTAAAACAGATTTAATGAAAATAAATACCAGAAAAAAAATTTTTCACACTAGAATAACTGACAGATAATGTGCACTAATTGGAAATTTGTATCTCACCCTTTCTTTTTTCTCTTCTCACTTAGGCCCGGCATGGCCAGGTGGTTAAGGCACTCGACTCGCAATCTGAGGGTCGCGGGTTCGAATCCCCGTCACACCAAACATGTTAGCCCTTTCAGCCGTGGGGGCGTTATAATGTGACGGTCAATCCCACCATTCGTTGGTAAAAGAGTAGCCCAAGAGTTGGCGGTGGGTGGTGATGACTAGCTGCCTTCCCTCTAGTCTTACACTGCTAAATTAGGGACGGCTAGCACAGATAGCCCTTGTGTAGCTTTGCACGAAATTCACAAACAAACTAAAACTCTTCTCACTTCTAGTGTCTGATATAGTTTTTGTGTTCTAAAATACATATTTCAAAGCTACATGAATTATTTTATGGAAACCCAACATAGAGAGAAAAAAAAGTAGGGTTACTGGAGCACAGTCTTCGAGTGCAAATGGCCGCAATGCCTAAAGTAAGTGCTAAGTTTCTTGCTTTTTATGTATATGTTTTATGCATTGTTCTATATTTTAAGCAAAAGTAACTAATATATAAAAATTGAAAACTTATTAGGTTAGATATTAAAACTTTTATAAAAACACATTTCACAAGATCGGCTGATAGGGAAGCTTGTGGTATTGCATTGTGTACTTTAACTTGATCTTTTTTTTTACCCTAAGCTCTCCTGCTGTGACTTATTTCTTTTTGTACCAGAGAGGGTCGGAAACAAAACCATAAAATCAAAGGAAAGCAAATGTGAAAAGGTTATAAGCTGAGACTATCAGAATAAATAATTGTAATTATCTATTACAAGCTGCAGCCATTCTAGAAAAATAAAAGGTTAGTGTATGTTGATGATTTTGCTTCAGTTTATGTTAGGACAGAGAATGTAAGAGATAAGTTATGGCTCTAGAAGCCATGTGAATGAAATATGAAACTTATAAATTGAAAAAAAGTATTTTTATTCTTATCATGACAAATCACCTTTCACTCAGACTGACTCGGTAGAATCACCTTATACTCGGACTCACTCAAACATATGTCAACCCCCCCCCCTCCGTTTTCACAAACCATGGGAAAGAATATAATTGAATGTCATGATGTCCTATTTACGTCTGCAAAATCAATACTGTAACCGAACATCTTGCAGGTGGATTAGTTGCAAGAATTAGTGATGACCTTGAGCGAACATCTGGCAAGCATGCATAGATGGATGCTATCTGGACAGGCTGGAGTAGGGGGGAAGGGGCGTGTGGTTGGCCGTGATTCGAAGGTGACTGTGAATTTTACATCCTAATTATTAATCAAAAAATATCACCTTATAGTTGGGCCAATACAATACTTGTTAATCACTGTATCTGCTATATCCATTGCAACAAGGTATTTTTGTCCAATACCAATGATTCTCAGGCTGACACAGTAGTGGTTGAGACAATATTAGCACTGTTTAATCTTAACATTAAAATCACTTTGCATGCAGACTATTCAATACAAATACTCGATATATTCAAGGACAAATCTTTATTTTATTTTATTAAAAATACTTCACTAAAAAATATTATTTTTTGTTTGTGAAAGACTGATAATGTTTACTGAAAGACTGCCAAATTTCATGAAGATATACACACTATATTAAAAGTTAGTAGTATCAAAACTATAAAGACTTTGAACGAGTACATTACGTGGCCAGTCAAATTGACCGAGCCCATGTAGAGAGAGCTAAAGCAACACTAAACTTGTACCTTCACCTTTTCATAAAAGAATTGATTTATTAATGGCGTAGATGTGGATAAATATAGAAAATTTGTTCAATAAAAACTGAGAAAATTCAAATTTCTAGCTTAATTACAACTGTTGGTTATAATTCATAATTTCCACATACATCTGTGTTTTAAATTTATATAGTGACAAAAGCAAGCCTCCAATATTTGTGGAAAAACCATCATCTAGAAGCTCAATTTTCATGACGTTAGGTGCAATTCCTTGTGAAATTTTAAGGTACGTATTTGTTTGTAATAAATATACTAGGGGATAAACGTATGATTCACGTACAATGTATGCGCTAAATCTATTTGAATACTAAAACATTGTTTAGCAAAAAAATGATAAAAGGATGTATATATATAAGAAATTGAATCCTCAAATTCCTGCATACAAAGCTTGTACTGTGCCATATGAACCAAAGCCCGAACATTTTTTTTTCTCACGTATACAGCATATATGTTTTAAATAGATAAGTCCTTTAAATAGTACTGCTGTTTTATTGTGTCGTTGGACATAAATGAAACTCAAACACTACTAAACAGAACATAGAGTTGTTTTATTTAGATTTTAAAGTTATGGTTTTTATATAAACACATTATCTTTGTGGATAATAGCCATCTTTGACTAAGATAATGAGATTTTTTTTTATCAAACTTCTGATAAAGTGATGTTATAAAATAGTGAAATTTTTAAAATTATGGTATCAAGAACTGTTGTCAAGTGCTTGTTTGTTTTTTGTAAATGTGTGTGTAAATATCACTATTCATGTTCTATCTGTAGAGCATTGAAAATGAAAGAAGTTGTGGTAGTGACTGTTAAGGCTTATTGCCGTAGATTATATAGTGGGTAAACTCGTGCTTCTTCTACAAAATGTATTTAAACTTTAGGCTTAATTGTCAATTTTTAGGCATTTGTTGGAATATGTATTGAGACATAATGGTATTGTGTTTTTTTATAAGTCATGGAAAGATAAAGAATTAACTTAATGTGTGTTTAATTGAGTGTTTGTTTATGTTACTGAAGTAATTGTCTATAAAGTTAATGTTGTAAATATCATGGTTTTGCATTGCATTTGTATAAATTTAAAAGTACCACTGTACAATTAGCCAATAGGAATATTGGATTTCCACGTGAGCTAATGCACACACATACATGGACTGTCTGATACACATTGTTCTTTTAATTACACAAACACACACACACACATATATATATATATATATATATTAAGGTAAAAAGAAGCTACATTGCTGTTGTTATTTCACAATATTAGGCAAATTAAAAAGTTTTGATTGGTTTGTAGCTGAATACAGTGATTAGCGTATATTTTGAAATACAAAAATAAAACAAACAAAAGTGTGTATGTGATACATTTTCCAGTGAACAATACAAGTAATCAAATGTGTATTAGTAACCATATCTTATTGTTTTAAATGCAGATTGAATAGTGGGAAAATTTTCACTTTTCCTGCTGATGCATGTTTTGTTTTTATGTTGTTTGCTTTAAAAAACTCAGTTCAAACAACTTTTAAAAGTACACAATACTTTAGAAACAGTGTAAAAACACCTGGCCTAACTAACAACATCTACGTGCTTTGATGGGTCAAAAACAACATTGAAGAAAAAAAAACATTCTGATATTTAGCATCATGCAGTGACCAATAATTTAAACTGCAGCTGAGTTCATTACACTTATTCTAGGTGTTGACAAATTCCATAATGCAGTTAGGTTAAATTTTTTTCTGTTTTCATTTTGTATTTGTAAATTGTTTACAAAACTGATGCTCTATGATTGTCATGGTTGTATTTTTATAAATTTGATGATTTCTCAAATTATTTCAGCTACATAGCCATCCATACTTTTGGTCGCAGACTGATTTATCCAGGAACTGTAAAACTTCTCCAAGCAGCCGTTGGTATGAATTAAGACTTCATTTTTAAACAATTAAGATTAGGACTGTACTGTATGTTGGTGATTTTTTTTTTTTTACCTATAATAAGGTAGCTTTTCAGACTAGATTTGTCTATTTCTACCTGAAATATCAGAAAATATTTGAATGTGTAAATGCACTACATACATTTTCATTTTCCAATATGGTGCTAGTAATATTTCTTGTTCTGTTTCAGATTCGTTATTGTAGTGTTGTTTTATTGAAGTTCCTTAAAATATGAATTTTGTCACAAGAGTTTAAATGTTAAGAAAAATATTACTTACACCCACCAAGGTGTTGGGTAATCAACCTTTCTTGTTTTTCTAATTTCATGAAAAACGTAGTGTCAAAAAACTTTAACTGTGTAGTATAGTTATGATTTGTTGAAATATTTAAGGAAGACTTTTCACCACAGGCCTTTTCTTCTCTACTGTTTTAAAAAATAAATCAATGGTGAATTTAAATGTAGTAATTCTCTGATACTGTGTGTAATAAGATGAAAATAGTGAGGTCATGAGGGGATGTAACCATTAAGGATTTCCCTGCGTAGTGCAGGAACATTTAAATATTCACCCTCAGAGTTTCTTGAGAAAGTAAGGTTTCATTGTGCTATAAATAAATTTCATTGTTGTTTTTTTTTCCAGTTTTTTTATTACCTTATTCTATAATTAGTAGCTTATGATCTAAGCAAACTACTTACATTGATCAGAACTAAAAATTTGTGCAGAAATTAATATAGTTAATTTCATATACTGTTTTAAACTGTAATGATTAAAATGCATTGATTCACCAGTTAGCACCGTCACTGTTCGTGATGTTTTTAGTTATGATCCTTGTTGTTTAATGGTTAATAATCTTCCAAGACAGAGTTGGGGGCTAATTTTTGTTTTCCTTAAAATATCCTAGACTACATATGGGGCTCAGTGCACCCACCACATTCCTAAAATTTTAGAGGGAGGAGGCTCTTGCAGGATCCTTTGACTTGTGCCCTTACATTGTTGAAAGGTATTTTAAAACACTGATACCCTTGAATAAGTAAAAACTTCTTTTGATGCTACCAGACAGATTACAGTTAATTTCCTTACCTGTTCAATTAGCTTAGCTCTTCCTTGAATGAGCATAGGACCTAGTTTTCAAAACAAAATTTGGTAAATGCCAGTAGTGATGAGCTGTTTTTGGAAGATTTCATTAAATTTGAATAAAAACAAAAAATGTTTAACTTTTTTGTTTGGGCATCTACAACTGAATGATTTTTTGGACTTATGAAGTATGCATATTTTAATCAAAACAACATCAGTTCTGTGGAAATTTAATTTATCTTTCTTTCAAACGTGTACATAGCAGGAAATATACTGGGTAAAGAAGTCTTTTAGCAGACCACAAATTTGTTTTTCAGTACTTGAATACCATCTCATCACTCACAAAGAGCCTGTTTTATTGTGAAATCTTGCACTCTTTAAAAATAAAACTAATGAATTCTTCAGATGTATTACTTTATTTATATTTTTGATTATACACTTGTTTCGTCTCTCTTCAACTATCTAGTATACAAAGATAATTATTCTGTGAGAATCAATTAAGTGTATCTATATGATTAAATGAGCTACGATACAACTGAACAGCTTGCTTTATAGCCGATATTTAATTTAGCATTTTGTAGCACAGTTATAGTTGTAAGTTTGAAAGTTGCTGTAACTTTATACGTAAAAATAACTACAGACTTGCAAAAATTTAAATGTTTCTTTTAAACAATATTATGCTTAATGTAAAATTTAAAACACCAATTCCAGTACTTCAGAGTGTTTGTAATTTTAATTTTTTTATATATTTTTTCTCAGTAATGAGATAAAATTGTTTGATATAGAGAGTAGTTTTAAATGTTTTTTAACAGAATTTTCCACCTCTGTTTTCAGTATGGAGCAGAGAGGTTCAAATTAATTACACGCGATGGAAATGCAATAGATTCTGTTTTTGTAGATAGAAGAAGCAAAAAAGAATTTCCTAATGGGGAAACATTAGTAAGTACATAGGTTATATTTCAGGCTGTTATGTGAAATGAGCCACTGTTTATAATATCACTTTAGGTTGAAATTAAAAACTGACACATTAACAATAATTATCTATTAAACATCTGAATGTCTGATAGGTTAGTGTCTTTGAATTTTGCATGTATAACGACAACTCTATTGTTATTATCGTATCTGTACGTAACTCATATTGATGAACCTTAGAGGTCAACAGAGAACTTACTGATAATGTTTGCAAGATCATTTTTTGATCTTGGGTATATTTGCTACTTTTATCAATGTTTAACATGGTTATTGATAATGTCTTAATTGTTCATGTTTATTATAAATAGACGTACTAAAAGTTAATGTAACATATTCATCATGTCGTTACATAGGTTATATGCTGTGAAGGAAATGCAGGCTTCTATGAATATGGAGCTATGGCGACTCCCCTTGAGGCAGGGTACTCTGTCCTTGGTTGGAATCATCCTGGTTTTGGGGGAAGCACCGTAGGTATACTTGTATAATGCCGAGTAGTAAATTTGTTTTTACATAAAAAAAGAGTTTCTATAGATACCAGTGGAATAGTTAGTCTAATTTTTTGTATGGTAAAAATAAAGTTAAACCTTATAAACTTGAACCATAGACCTGTTTGTACTAATAGGTTAATGATAGCTTGTTGGCTCTAATAACTAAAGGTAAGTATATCAAATATTTTATTTAATGCTTTTGATCTTAGAAACTAATCACTGAATACATTCCAAGTATTAAGTGCACATCTGCATGTTAAATTTCACGATTTAAGTAAAAATAATAATTCGACATCTGTTTCAACAATTTTGACCTAAAGTATTTCATATTTTGATATTTTCGTAACATATATTTTACTTAGTGTAATTCACAGTGAAAAAATGTTAAAAAAACAAAACATTCCAGCTTTCAATTATGTGCTGCTCTGAGGATTTTTGCCTGTAAACAATGCATATATTAAGGTTTTTGGATTTTTTCTGCCCATCCCAAGATGTAGGTTTATATTTGCAAAGAAACTGTCACCCTTTTAAAAAATAATGATTCATGTGTTGTTTTTCTTGGAGGTCTTGGTGGTTAAGGTGCTAGATGCACAGTGTGCGGGTCCTGGGATCCAAACCTGTTGCCAAACACACTCACTTTTGTCATGGAGTTGTTATAATATAATGATCAGGCCCACTATTCGTTGTTAAAGAGTAGTTCAAGAATTGATGGTGTTCGCTAGCTACCTTTACTCTAGTCTGTCCCTTCCAAATTAGGAACAGCTAATGCAGGTAGTCCTCAAGTAACTTTGCATGAAACCCATCAAACAAACAATTTTTTCATGATTTTCCTTCTATGTTAGTGGTTTTATTACTACAGCTTTTTGTCATCACCCTTTTTTGACGACAGAACGTGGTGTGAACAATTACTAAGGGAGGTCAGTGTTGAAAACAGCTATAGGGAATATGATTGCATAGAGCTGGTTATAAATCAGTTACGTCAATGAAGATTAAATCAAGTGATATGAGCAACTAGTTGTGAGTTCTTGAAATATCAACTACCCAGTGCTCCTCTAGAGGCGAACAAATGAATCGAACGGTACATTTAGAACACCGAGGAACAAACCACAGTACTGATACTTTTTTTTTTAAATAATTTATTTAAATATTCTTTTCATTATTCAAAACACTTGTGTTAAATTATACCTGTTTCAAAGCTACAAACAGTACATCACATAAACTGTTAGGTTTAACGAGTACAGTAAGCAATAGCTAAAATATTCTGATGGCTCATATTCCTATTTACTGAATATTATTCTTAAGTTAATCATATTTAAACAATGCACAAAGATAAAATAATATTATTTATGGAAGAGAAACTGTGTTTATTAGATATAAATTGAATCTTGACCAAGAATACTGTAAGCAAAATTCATGGTACCTAGCCTTACTAAAATAATAGTGATGCCTTTTGGAAGGGTGAGGATCAAGATCAGTGATAAATCTTTGTCAGTTTTAATAGTTTATAGTCTGAAGTGGTGACTAATGCAATGAGTAAAATAAATATATGAATGAATATCTAACAAATTGAAATTGGCTGGATATATAAAATGGGACTTCCTGATCAACAGAATTAAAATTCTAAAACTAAAATAAATATTTTAATGTTTTTTAAAATCATCTACTAGTAAAATTTTGCCCCCCCCCCATCTACAGCAAGTGAACGTCATTTACGAGTACAAGTGTAATAAAGGAGACTGTGAGCTTCTGGCAAACGCCTCCTACATCTGAATGACTACCACAACCCCGTCAAGATGCCTAACA